AAAAAAAAAAAAAGAAAAGAAAAGAAAAAAAACGGAAAAACAAATAAACAAACAAACAAACAAAAATGTATGAACAGAGCAATGGATTGACCTTCAAAAGAAGGATAATTCGCCCTTCTCAAGCATACCATTATTGAATTCACTGGACCATTACGATCTAGTAATCCTATCCTGCTTAAGTACGGTTCGTCACATCCTGTCCCGCTTTACTGTGATTCATTTTTCCTGCCCAGGAGTTCTACAAAAAGCTTATCAAGAAAATTCGAAGTCCAGAGTTACGTTATTTAGCGGAATTTCAAAAGCACAGAACATTTCGAACCCTTCGATACAGACACTGTAAAAGATCTTTCATATTCGTAAACTAGGTTGACGTTTTATCCTGAATAATCATTATGATCGAATAGTATTTGATCGTAATTTTGAGCGGAAATTTCACGACCAGCAAAATATCGTTTGTCCAGCGCCTGCCGTGCTGTATCTGCTTCTTGTGTATTATCAAATCGTACAAATATCTTCACACTACCGTTTGCTGGATCCTGAGCTATTACTACCTAAAAAACACTGTTTCAGTTAATAAGACCCATATACCTTTGAAGCGGTGATTTTTTTCCGAGAAATATCCACGCCTATCCAAAAAAAGAAAAATGTCGGAAGTGAAATTAGAATTTACGGACATCGATGAAATTTAGCATCCCAACACATTTATCAAGCGTTAGTAAACAACACTGACGCTAAAAATACATTCCGATCGCTTTCATAAGGAACGAAAATTTAAACTCCATTAGAACTACTCAGTTCATGCCATTTACGTTTATTGCGCTCCTTACCTCCTGCACTTTGCCATATTTATTACATTCATCACGAATTTCACCCTCCAATTCATCGTCGCATTCTTCAATCGTTACCATATTTCTCAGTACTATTACTGTTGATCGATTTGTTCGCATTAGTTTGTGCATTAACAAATGCCTTGCATCATTTCCTAAGCAATGGAAATGTTTCGAGGAATTCAACGAACTAATTCAAACAAAGTCACAAGTATCCAACCAATAAACCAGGTCAAAATATCATGTCAAGTTCTGGGTCTCTCTAAACAAAAATGTTAAATCCACAATCAGAATCCAATACAGCCCAGAAGCTTCTTACCTCTAATCTCTAAGCCTTCTTGAGCAGCCAATGATACATCGTCTGAATTAGCATTTTGTGCAGCCATCTGATCATTGAGTTCACCAGCTCGGTTTGCTGCTTCCAGTGCTTGAGGAGTGTTGAGCTGCAATAATATTACAGGCTAAATATTAAAAAGAAATCAAGGTCAAAAAACAGTCTATTTTATAATGAAATTGCAGAATAAATACGAATAGAAGTGACTGTTCGTAATGAAGAACTAACTAAAGATGAGGCTGGTTTGCACTAGCAAAAATGAACAAACCTGTGGTCCCTTCGGTACTGTTGATACCGGCTTTTTCTTCTTCTTTTTATATGATCTGTCATCCGGTTTTGATCCTTTTTCTTTGCTAGTTCCACCCGTCTTCTGTAAATCGCGTCGACTTGGTATGGAATTGTCAGAGACAACCAAAGCCATACTAGCGGAGTCACTCGTTGATGCTTGACCAATTGCAAGCTGATCCATTATGCCATCAGCAGTAGTAGTTATTCTGAACATAGAAAAATCAACCCTTTTTCTCTTCCATCTAGGTTTAATCACTATTCCCCACCAGTGTCCTCTCTTCTTGTACGTTATTTTTCTTCCTTCTGTTTTTATAGCATGTTCAATTACATTGTGCAATCTTATCCTAAATTAAAGTTTATTTCGTCAAACCGTTTATTTTAACTTCGCCTCAAGAACGGCATCAATTTACCCCATAAGCTGTATTATATATATCATTTCAAAAAGTTAAATTTTAAATGATTTCGAGAACTAACGCTTTACGATCCACAGGAGCAATATTAGCTGGAAGTGGAGCAAATGTAGCAGGTTCAACGGAAGAATTCGTTGGAGTGCCAATGTTAATCCTCGATATTAACGACTGTGTAGATGACAGTGTCACAGGGGGTGGCGGTATTGAAGAAACCTACAGCATTTGTAATATTTCAAAAATGTAACCAAGACAACAACTTTGTTCATTAAATTGAATAAGGAATTTTCTATTATAATAAGTGTTTTTTTCTTGAATTTTAGCACAGCAGGTATTTTTTCTTGAAATTCTTGAAATCAGGACTCACTGGTGGTGGTGGTACCGGAATCGTGCTAGCAGGTGCTGGTATGGATGTTATTACTTGTGGTGGCGGAATGCTGACAACTTGTACAGGCGGTGTCTGCACGGCAAAACCACCAAATCCTCGGCGGCCACCTGGAGGAGGTCCCGGTGGAAGAGGTGGCGTTGCAACAGGCAGTGGTGGCGTTGAAATCTATTTAAAGAAAAAAGTAAAAGTAAGCTGCACAATATACATTTCATAAGATCTGATAAGTTTTAAAAACTTGAAGTTTGCGAAGTTTTACTACACGCTTCTAAAGTAAAACATATTTTCCCGGTATTTCCAACACAGTAAGAAACAACTCTTCAAATTCATATTAAAGAATAGCAACCTGGTTAGGAATAACTGTAGCAGACGGCGGAGGTGTTGGGGAAACAACCGTTGGAGAATACGGTTTTCCTGCTGCTACTGGTGATACTGTTGCAAGTCCAACCATTGGAACAGTTGCTATGCCAATAGGAGGAACCGTTGTAACAACACCTACCGGTGGCGTCGCTTGCATATTATATGGTTGTGGTGAACCCTGTCGAACGGCAATGCCTCCCGAGAGCTGTAAAAATAGTGAGCTTTATGGATGTCAGTTTTATTTTTTTCTTTTTTCTTATACCCACCCTTCATATCCAGCTATCCATCACCAGTTTTGGATTAAGAAAATTGGAAAATGTTCGGCGTAGAATACATTTTTCATAATCTAAAACCAGGAGTTGATATGAATAGATTATATTTGAGCAGGTTTAGTTCACCCCCAAAAGACATGAATTCCACAGATTATGTTGTATCTATACTTACCGGAGACGTACTGGCAGTGTGAACAGGTGACTTCTTTGCAGTCATTTCTTCGGCTTGAATTTTAGCGGTGACTTCAGCAGCTGCAACAGCTGCAGCTGTAGGTAGATTCACGGCAGATGTGGGAACGATGTATGTTAGCGCATCTGGTGGTGTGATACATTTCCCAACGCGTAGATACTGCCCACCAAGGTCAAACATATTCATCCCGGCAATGGCTTCATTTGCTGATTGAGCATTACTGAATTCCAAATACCCGAAACCTCTGTAAAATAGCTGCTTATACTTTGTTTAATGAATCCATATCAGACTGTTTGGGCAAAAGAAAAAAAAAGTGTGATATCAAATTAAGGTTGTCTGCAAATAATTGAAGAACTGTTAATAACTACGAAAAAAAAAATATTTTCGTAAATTTCAACAACTGATTAAAAAGTGAATAGCACAAGTAATTTCAATGATTTTGCATCTTACAGGAAAAAAGACACAAACGAAATGTTTGTCAGAACTCTAAAAATTCTACTTCATCTTCATCGGAAACAAAACAATATGGTCGGGATACCGCGTGTAACAATACCGTGTAACAAAATAAAATCCTTTAATAGCATGCACTAATCCTTTTACCTATGCCCGCTTCCAGCGTTTGGCCCCGTAGCTCTGGCCAGTTGACATTTCGTCACCTCACCGAATGCTTCAAATACACTTTTGAGATCAGATTCTGAAAGATCCGGATGAACTGATGCAACATAGACCCTGGAAAAAGGAATTAATTAGAGAGATATGACGTATATGTGATGAAAGCTTCGGAGATCTGATTAACTTTCAGCCAAATACTTCGAAGCATTTGTATTTTCAGAAATACAGTGATGGCGACAAAAATGCATAGATCAAAAAATTTCGTTGGAAAATTTGGAGACAATTGCCAGTATGAAGAGTAAAATAACGGTAAACTGAATTTAAGCAGTTCAAAGTGCATAAATTTAATAGTGTATACTAACCGATGATATGCTTTCGCTTCCTGCATCACCATCTCGATAATTGGCTGAGCTTGTGGCATATTTGATGGCCGTCCGACCTCAAAATTGAGATCAGTGTGTAATACTCGAAATCTACCTAATCTATACCCCTTCGAAGCATACAACTAACACCTGTGCGTCTTAACAAGATTTGAACAAGAATATTCATCGGATGAAAGATCCGTTTACGAGACAGAGTCGAACAACCATGGCAATTCGCCCATGATTACAAAAGAAAACACAATAAAAGATAATAAGATAATTAACTGACTAGAACATTAACCTTGAGATTACGGCCGCCCATCAGTACACCGTTCATTGACTCCTGCGCCAAAAGCGCTGCCTCCGGAATTTCGTATTCCAAAAATGCGAAACCTTTGTGATGCTAAAATAGAACACGCAATACAACAAAGTAGTTTTGCAATATAAAATTATTATTCTGCAAATCCCATCCGCGATAGCAACTTGTATTACTGGAGCCATCTAATCCCAAATAGGAAATCTATCGATTATGAACTACGTTCACAGTGAAGAATTCTAAAGAGCATTTTGAACAAGACTCGTAATAAGCCATGAAATTTGGCCTATAATTTGTTTTATGAATCCCAATTTCATGTTTCCCAGTAATCTGACCAGAAAAGGCAAAAACATTTCTTCCCCATTTCCCATTGTATGGATCGGCATGAACTAACCCCTGTAACGGCATCCCAACTCATATTAATTGATTTGATTGGGCCAAATACACCGAAGGCATTTTTTATCATTTCTTCACGAACTTCGAAACTGATCGAACCAATATAAACACGCGCCATGAGGGATAAAGCTTGTGCATACATCGCCACTTTTTGTTGCTGAAATAGTATGACTAAAATACCAATGACAATACAGTTTTGTAAACTGATAAGAATTAAAATTACAGCTGATGTTGACGAGAATCTATAATAAAGTTTTTGTCAAACTGTACAAAAATCTGGAGTCAATCGAGAATCTAGTGTTAATTTGTTGTATGCTCATTGAACTTTTCAAGTTTCTAGAATCAGCTTTCTATTTATATGCAAGATTACATACAGCCATCTTTTCGTAAAGCATCAGTCATGTTTTAGGGCAAAACCATTTTATGAAGCATGCTCAGAATCAGGATACTGTTAGGAACATGATTCACCGAATAATCAGGTAATTCTTTACCAAAAATATAGTTCAAGCAAGAATATTACACTTACATTCTGCTGGTGTGCAAGTGTTTGTCTGAGAAGTACTTGCTTGATTGACTGCTCTTTAGCATATTTTTTCGCATCTGCTAACCAATCTTTTTGCTTGCTGCGCAGCTTTATAAGGCCCAAACCAAGTAGCTGAGCTTCCTTTTTAGCTCCAGGTCCAACGATGATCTTGAAAAAGGATAAGAATTAAATCTTGAAACTAGTAATTCCCTCAAATTACGGTGGCAAACAGAACGTGATCAAGCACAACTATAGCTTGAGAAATCGGATTTCAATAACGAATCTCCCATTATAACCTGGAGTAAGTTTTCCGAATCAGCCTGCAATGAATTAGTCATTCACTTCCGTATTACTCTCTGTTCACTGTCTACGGTTCTGTAGCGACTCTGCCAGAATAATATTCAATATAAAAAAAAAATTTACAAACTGGCACAACACATACCTATTTTTATGCGTTTATTTTTTCTCCTTTTTTAACATTCAATAGCAGGTTTTCGAGAATAGTAAGGATAACGAAAAACAGAGAGAGAAATAAAAATAAAAAGAGAAGAAACATGAGGGATTTACCGCGCCAGACTGTGGAAGAACGGGCATTGGTACAAGAGCTTCGCTCGGCATGTACGTTGTAACGGGCACAGCCGTAACATGTGGTCCTGTTGTACCATTACTTTCTGAAAAGAGGAAATAAAAAATATCACTAGTAAGGAAATACCTCTAACAATTTCTAGCTTATAAAATGATCCGATTAAAACAAACCCGTTTTGGTCCGCGTTCCAATAACAGTCGCATCGTTCGATTGCAGCTGTTCTAATTCATCCATAATTTAAACAATTTACCACTATAATCATATATACATTACGTGAGAACAATATTTAAACATGCACAATACTCTCCAGAAATATCAACCTTCTCCCTCGTCGACTTAGCTCACCCCTAACTACTGTCCCCGACACATGACATCCGGCTGCATCAATTACTGACCTCTCTCCCTGTGCCACTTCGATACGCTGGTTCCCGTCCAATATGATCGACATGCAACGGATCCGAAGTATAATGAAATTTACACGAATTTGCGCGAGCCAATAGTGGTGAACCTGAAGCAAATATCCAGATCACTCATAAAATTTCCCATAGTGGGCTCGCATTTTAAAAATCTGAAATACAATCAAGTGACGGCGAACAATGTATGTATGCGTTGTGGATGAATGACCAACGCAAAACGAAATCCAGAAATTTAACAAAATCTTTATCAACATCTTAAAGTAATACTACACTGTTCACATAGTTGTTAAAGCTTTAATCCACTAAGCAGAAGTTAAAGTAATAAAGAAACGAAAGTAATCATTAGAAAAAGCAACCGATGCTATTCTGGGACTGCTTTTTGATTAGGAATAGATGGATCAGAAATGTCACGGAAAATAAGATTAAGAACTACTGACACTATAAATGGAGGGATTCGAAAATGTCCTGATATGAAAAAATGAACTGAAAAGTTGGATGCATAAGACAAGACAAGTACAAATTAATGATAGTATAAACAGATATTGGTTACCAATATACATTGGCTTTCACCCAACAGCTGTATAAAGGTTGGGAATTCTTCCAACAAACCAAAATGAGGAATACATTAAGACGAGGAATGAGTAAGAAAGAAGGAATAACAAAATAATTTAAAATCTGATTTACGAAATGATGGTTAACACATTAATGATTGTTTATGATATTAAATGCCAGAATTAGGCAGCATATTTTTTAAGATAACTGGAAATTCAAATATAACCATCACTTGGTGAAAATCAAATTACAAAATTTGCACAACGTCCAGCCTTGATACGATACTGCTATGAATTTTTCATGAGAAGCTACAAATTAACGAAGCTAGCAATGCATATTTCAAAAACTAAATCATTTTATAATGGAAACGCTTTGCTTGTACTGACTGTAATGATTTTATACCCAACTACAAAGCATCTTCAGGATGTTCGCATCGATTTAGATAATCAGTCAGCCGTGTCATCAGTTTATCATTCTTATTCAGTGCATCCTGTAGTCCATCTACAAGGAATTTTCGCTTTTCGCGATTCCGCTGAGCCTTCAAATTTCCGGTTAAGAATATTCATTACCCAATTTGAGGTAAAAAAATTAATTGAATGTGTTTTACGATGAAACACATGCAACAGATAGGAAAAAAGTAATTAGCGTAATTAGTGGAACACTTATGTAACTGGTCTTTGAGTACGAAAGTATCTCAACAACACTGAGAACATCATTACCCTTGATGACATTAGTTGTCAATTTCCTTATGTAGAGTACATCCGTTATTATTGTCAATACCTCAGTCGGATGTTTTGCAGTAGAATGTATTTTCTATAACTCCTGTAGTTTACAAGACGAAAAAAAATTACTTGTTCTTTTTCGGTATTATCATTATTGATTTGCAAACCATCAAGTGTTTCCAAAAGTTTCATGCAATTTTCAGCGTATCCTTTCAGACGTTTATCCATTCCTTTGATATATCCTCGCCTTTCAGGATCTGTAGTATTTGATTTTCTTTTTTCTTAACTAGAACTGACTGTTTATCCCACTGACATTCATAAAAAACGGTTCACCGCTTACTGATAAATATAAATAACAAGAAGTCAAGTATTATCCAAGCTAAACTGAGTACTAATGTCAAAAACAAATCAAGAACAGATTTCTATAGTCTGCTGAATAACTATGAACTGCTATTTGTCGACAATTATCAAACGAGCACACTGCAAAACCTTTCAAGAAGTTTTTCTCCAACTGCGTCAGATCATTTTCGTTCGTTGCATATGTTTTAGATATATTCACAGTATGTTTCCGCTCGAAATCCACCAGCAGCTTTAAAAAATGGGACAGTTTGACAATTTTGAACTTATATAAAATTTACTATTCTATAGTTTCGGAAAGGGTTCGGATTTCTCCAGTAAGGACATTCCCCATATATATGTCATTTGCATATATCTCACTCAATATCTCATTCGTCGCCATGGATTACATGAAATCAATAAATTGATTTTTTCCGAAGCTTAGCGAAATATACTTAAATATTAAGCGAACGATTTCTAGTAATTACTATCGATACTGCAGATGTTGTAATGGAATAAAAATAATGTAATGGAATCGAATCTACATACAACATACCTTCCATCCAACATCTGTTTCTGTTGTCGGTGGTTTTCCAAGAACCAATAATTTATCATTTTCTTTAAAATTAAAAGATGACAACGGAGTAGAATTATCACCCATTAAAATACGCCCTAAATACAATTCTTACATTATGCAATTTCTCTCCTAACATTTTAGTATTAACGCGACCTTTGACTAATTTATTGAGTTCGTCGATAATATTTTCTTCACTCTATTCCAAAATTTCGATAATAAGAGTTGAAAACAGAAATCAATTCAGCTTAGTCGTAAAAAAGATATTATACCTCTGTGGACGATTTTTAAAGCAGTCGGGCTGATATTGCACAAGGAACACACTAGTTGTTTGAATGATCCAAGCGTTGAGATTTTTTCCGTATACGTTGTACTAATATTAACAGCGTTATCCTTTTCAGCTGCTGCAAAAGTTAAACAACTATTTAGCAATGAAGCTTGAGTAAGATCAAAGAAAACTCCATGAGCCTCTTAAAAGATTAATAAAAACAATCATGGTGATTTATGCGACCTTAGCTCATCACTTTGTGCATATCCCCGTAATTATCAAAAATAAAAAAAATGCCGGATAGGTTCTGGTTACATTTCTTTAAGCTGCCTAACATTTAGGTGACATGATAACTATAGAAAAGTAACTTGAACATTTTCGAAAAACTTGCCAAACGAGCGAAGTACTAAATGAAAAAATTATTTGTTGTTTACCATCATTAACGTCACAATTTCGAAACTAATTTTCGTGATGTATACACTTTCTCATTACAAGATTAGTTAAAATCCTTATTATACGTATGACAACATATACGCATAACCGTAGCATCAGGGAATCCACTTAACAACCAAGTATAAAAACATTCACAGGTAACGTAACAATGCATAAGGACTGGATATAACCAAGATGGGTATATGATGAACAAAAAACTTTCCTTACAAGTAGTTTGACGATTATCCACGTTGCTTGGAATGTGTTCCACGTCTACCTCTATCGGATAAATTTTCGCTGCGCACGAAATATTCAGTTTCATTGTGCATTCATTTAATCAATGAATCTTAAAAAAGGAAATTAGCATAGAGAGAAGCAAAATGAAGAGAAATAAGTATCAAGAATGCCGCTCTTACGAGTAATACTTATGTACATGAACATTGGTTATTACGTAACACATTCTTCATTGGCCATCATTGCACGTATTTTTAGGTGATAGAAAATTTTTAAAAAAAATTTTATTTACGCTTCAATAAATCTATTTGTCTAACTTCTCAATTATTTGATTATATAGCTTCTTGAATGAGACATTATGCATTCATCTCCTGGTAATTCACTGAATAACATACTTGACTACATATTATTATTGAATAAGTAACTTGGTGAAATAAGATATTTGGCCATAAAAATTCACCCAAAACTTAATCACATTCACACAAATCTCAGTACAATATTACATCTTTCTCGTTGTTAAACGAAATATTTGAGATATGAATTGCATAAAATAATGTACACCTGACAAAGACGAAAGATTGATAGGATTAGAAAGAGCATAGATTAGAGAGCGAGAACGATGAAAAAATGAAACATTAGAGAGAATCATGGGGAAATTGCGAGGGATGCGAATCATCATTCGCACTTCCTCTGCATGTGTTAGTTCAGCGTGTGGGTGCACGTACATACATGCGGGCGTGGGCGTGCCTATATATATATATATATATATATATA